AGATGGCAAATATAGCTGAGTTACCTTTATAAATATCAAGTAAAAAGTGTGAAGTGGTATATTCCACAGAGTTGCCATTACAACTGTTCAGTATTTAGTGTCAGAGTAATATCCTCCATAGTGACATGATGAGGTGGGAGACCATCTGGAACTGTAGTGATGATAAGCAGCACACTAGGACAACAGGAGGCACAAATCAACAATACAAAGATGCTACGACAGGAAAAGTAAACATAATGTCTCATCTAATCTCACTGCCCCAAAGACAAAATCCATTGAGTACACAAGTCTTTGGCAGCTTGAGATCTTCTGTCCAGACACACAGAGAAATATCTGCTGGCAAATGACAATATAATTGCATGTAAATCTATGAACTCATGTCCGTCTATGAACTCAGTCTCTGTGTGTCTGTATTCACACAGGGGACAGCTGTTTCACTGAAGTCTTCAGCACCATTGTTAACTGGATGACATCCTAGAGGCAGCTGCCTTTTGTAACTTTGGTATCATTTTTATAATCTTCAGCTTTGAATAAAGCGCCTCTTGCATTTCTTTTTTTACTCTACTGCCACCTATAGTACTGTAACACGTGACTAGGTAATGCTGTTTGATTGGCTTATATGAGAGTCTGATGTTATTTCATCTTTCTGGAGACATAGAGCGTATGATAGTAAACCTTCGCCTCTCTCTGCAGTGTCTTTTATGACTAGGCCAGTCTTTTTGTTGACAGTATGTCCCACAGTATCTAAAAATAACAAAACTGAAAATGTAACAGCTGGACAGACATAACAGCAAAACATTTTAAATTTTATAATGAAAACTTTAATTTAGATCTTTCTTTCATAATCCAATAGCATGTACACCATAGCTTTGTAATCTGAGTGCTGGTGTTAACAAGCAATTAATGAACAATATTGCTCTAGTTTCATAAGGGAATATGCCGAGAGTAACATGCAGCTAATAATACATGACAACCCAGTAATTATGTAGGCCTACATCATGAGGAAATGTGGAACAAAATTACATCTGTTCAGTGCATGAGACTGATTAGCAGATAAATAAATGAGAGAGAATGAGAGAGAGAGAGAGAGAGAGAGAGAGAGAGATAAATCACCCACCTGACTTCCTGGCACCTGCCACATATACTGAACTCTCTCAGTTCTTTCTCTATATTTGTACAGGGGGGGTAATGGCACTCGTAATACATGCTGCTGTCATCTGGAAGACAACTTGTTTGTGTTAAAATGCACCTGACAAGCTCTCTAATCCACTGGTATCAAATGAAATACAATTCAAGATTATGAAGAGAAAGATTGGAAAATGTGTCTTCAATTCTTACTTATACCACCTAAAGAAATCTTGAGATCAAAGGGTCGTTTCATATTAAGCAGACGATGGTTCAGCCAGGACTTACCTTCCTCCTCAATCTGGTCTCCATTGGCATTATAAAACCTGTGATACAATGATTCTGGGTAATTCTGGAAAACAATAAATGTGTGAATGAATGACTGTGTTCATATTACAACTCATCTACCAGGGGCGGATCCAGAGATATTTTCTGACAGTCTTCCAAATTATCTTTGTTGATCCATCCACCATTTTTGACCGTTTTCTGACAGAAAAAATTAGATACCCGTCAATGTAAACTTGAAAATCTGACCGTCTTCCGGAAGACCCAGAAGACCGCCTAAATCTGCCCCTGTCTACTGTTTACTGAGCTGAAAAGAAAACACATGTACTTAATGCTAGCCATGGAAAACAAGTTCAGAATCCTGAAACATGATGGCAGGAGCTTCATGACAAACATAAAATGAATAAAAGCAGAGAATCTGATCAAACTTGAAAAGGAATGACTCATCTTCTCCATACAACTTGCAATAATTAGCAATAAAACATAACACAGATAAATATTAATAAACTACAAGTTTTTTTCACCATTTAAAATACCAGTCATATACCATGCAAATACTATTAAAACAAATCTTAAGGTAGCTTCAGCAAACTTTTTTTTACCAAAAAACTCTAATGGACACTTGACCCATTTTAAAGGGTTGGCTCTATCTGAGTTATTCTGTTACCTCATCTATAGGGTCAGCTGGCAGCTGCTGTATGGCTACCCAGTACAAACTCTGCTCTCTGTTGGTCTTCGTGGAAGGTTCCTCAATGGCCGGAGACTTGCAGTTGATTGGGACTAGCGTCAGGTTCTCCATCCTATTGTCCACCGTGACACCATTCCTGTGGATGACTTTATATCCTGGTGCTATACCTCCACAGTGTAACTCCCTAGAGAGAAGATAACACACCCTATACTAATACTTTATATCCTGGTGCTATACCTGCACAGTGTAACTCCCTAGAGAGAAGATGGCATACTTAAATATACTACTGAGACCATTCATTCATTTATTTTTTCTCTGTCTCATTAAGAAAACTGTGCAGCATATAACAACAATACAAGGAATGTTCATTTACCTCCGAGTCATAATTAAGTAAAATCCAAACAAAAATCTTGTTATCTAACACCCCATTCTCATAGATTAGATCGACCTACATTGGATCGACCTAACTCCCTGGGGGTTCACGCTAAATAGCTGTCAGCCGGGCGGACACGAAAGTTAATTACCCCTTAAAGCTTGTAGTAGGCGGGGACGGACACTTAAGGGGGATTATCTGACAGTAATCTAGTGAGACTCCCCGCGGTGATAGATCGATCTAAAAGTTGTGAGAACAGAGCCTAAAGCATATCCTTGTAAGCCACTTATATTTTAATTTGACATTTTGCAAGTTTGATACAGAACTTCATAATTAAAAGACAGAACAAGGGTGTCCTCCGCAATGTCTGCGACATCCTCCCGTGTGTCGGTACTTACCACAGTAAATCCTGGACAAACATCCCAGCACAGCGCCCTCTATTTATGTCGTAGGCATAGGCGTAAATCTTAGCACCATTCCCATCTTTGTCGACTACAACTTGAGCCTGCAACACAACAGCCAGAACTCTGAGATACTGCATCATCACATGCCTGATACACAAGTGCTTGAAACATGGCCCAAATCATAAACAGTTCAAATCATAAACAACCAAAAAGATACATTAAAATCTGGCTAAAAACTATATGCATCATATCATACCAGATAAAATAGTTTTCAATATCAAATATTGAAGACACCATCTCCAAATCTAGAAACACACAATTAGCACAGACTACCAAGTGCAATCCTACAACCCGTTTAAATTAAGATGAACACCTTCTTACTGAGTCAAAACTCCACTGTTAACTGACAATGTGATATCTTTCAGTCAATTGTGTTCTACTTGAAAACAGTACATTGCTTCATTTCATTTTTTCCACTTTTAACACAATAAAGTAACTGTACTTACTTCAAATGCATATCTTTCCACCAACCCAATGTCTCTCTCATCTAGAAGAGCATATTTAATCTGAAAGGTAAATGTCAACAAATTACTCAATCTCATTAGGTAAATTATAACACAGTTGGGAAAATAGTCCATATACTTCCAAATATTTTGATGTAATCTAACTGTTTATTTTATAAAGGTTAATATTTACAGGCAAATGATATCTATAAGCTAAATATGTTATAGGGGCATTCCGTGGTATTCGTTTTGCATTACGGACGGAATTTTGACACTTTAAAAATAAATTCTACAAAAACTATAATACATAAATTGTTCAAATTTGGCAGGAATATTGATTAGTGCAAGCCTAAACTTCTGACCAAAAAGCTTGAAGTAACATCTATTAGTTTTTGAGAAATACTGGTTATTGATCACCATTACGGACGGAAAAAAATGGACAAGCATTTTTATTAATCAACTTCAACTTCAAAACTCTGCTCTGTTTGTGGCTTTTTAAAGATAAAACTGCATTGACATGACAATTTCATTATTCTTGTTACTAGAAATGTAAAAGGTTATTTAAAAAATTTTTTTTTGTTAGGAAATTTTTGAAGTTTAAAAAATCATGTCAGATTACGGACGGAAAATTTGTCCACAGTGCAAAACTTACACAGAAGCCATTAAAAAAGTACAATTAATCATTTATTCATGGTAAAATTTAACTTTTTACTAAATATGTACATAATAGGAAGTTATTTTTGATGTCAACTCAAATACTTTTGTGAGCTATTTCAAATTACAAAAATCAACTACAGTCTACACTTTCATGAATAAGAGATCCCTTGTGTTCTCATATTGTCATTGTTTAAAATTCTGTGTTGAATTCTAATTCAGAATAGCTACATTTAAAAGTTCCTTTTTTTTTTCATGCTAAAGTTTAAACACTGTTTTTATTCTGACACATTAAGTCCAACAGAGAATTTGTATCTCTTGCATTGGTCCATCACAGGGAATGGTACAGGTTTGATAATTTGGTCACTGGAAATCCATGCTCTGTCTTTTTGAGAAGGAAAGGCAAATAGTTTTTTTACTTGTCCTTTGCTCAGAGAAAAGTTACTTCTATATCACCACCTTCTATGAATATAATTTGACCTAAATAAATGTTCTGAGGATATAGGATAATTTCAGGTAAGTGGCATGGTGCCAGAACAAAGGCCTGGCCTCTAGTCATCTTTGATTAACTGTGGTCAGTAATTATCTTACTGCTCATCTCCCAGGTATATACAACTTGTATATGACAGGTAAGTGATCAAAAGCACATTTTATCTTCAAATTGCAATCAAAGTAACTGAAAATATCCAGGAGAAGCCATGATCATAAGTGATCCTTAAGGTGCAATTTAAATGCCACTAATTGACAAGTGAGACAGACGTTGACAAGTCTTGCCAGGTAAGAAAAAGCACTTTTTGACTTTAAATCCTGCATTTTT